TTTTGAGTTGTCTTCTTTATGGGTGTTATATGTTCTCCATAAACAAAATATCAGATTAAAAATCAAATATTGTGATATGGTATATTAATATATATGACGTATGACCTCCAGCTACCTCGTAAATATATATATATTTTTTAAATATATAATATATAATAACGCATGGGTAAAGTTCATTTACCACATTCACGAATAGCGTATATCTGACAGGACATTTACCCCGAAATATTGGTGAATATAATCGAGATATATTCTGATATATTTTGGTTTGATGAGAAAATGGTTCGATTTGGTTTCTGTTTTGGTTTTGTTTTGGTTATCGTTCTGCTGTGCTGTGGGTTGATGCCGTTGTTTTGGATGGCGATTCTCATGACGCTATGCGGAACGCAGCGCAGAGAATCTCCGGAAGAGGTTAACGGAAGGGGTCGCGGGGGCGCGGGGTCGCGAGGGCGCGGGAGCGCGGGAGCATGGGGGCGCGGGAGTATGGGGGCGCAGGGGCGAGAGGGCGCGGGGGCAAAGGGGGCAAAGGGGGCCATGTGGAAAGCCGACACAGCCCCGCCCGCCCCCAACCCCCAATTCACCCCCTTTGCACCCTCAACGGTGAAACCGGCGCGCCCAGTCGATACTGACACTGGAGTGCGGTGCGAGGTCGAGTCGTCAGAGGGCGCCCATCGGTGAGCTCAGCATGGGTAAATGGGTTTTGTGATGCGAGAGAAAATTGGGGGTGAGAAGGTTAACTGATGGATATGGATAAGTCTTCTTCGGGGTGGGTTAAAAATTTTTAGGGTGATCGCTGGTGGGGATTTTTCATGCGTATCCACTGACTCGTATTTTCATGGCTCGGTTTTATGAAAAATTTTGCTACGAGGATTGAACATTTTAATTGGTCGTCCTTGATTCGGAGAATAATTAAGGAGAAATGGTTTTTTAAATTATTTTTCCACCAATGCAACCGGTTGTCGGGCATTTTTTAATTTTCATCTCTCCTCATTAATAAAATGTACAAATAATTGTGTTGAGCTCAAAACTCGTTATGAATATTATTGAAAATTTAATTGTTTTGTTTATTATTTTCAAGTTTTTTTTTATTATATTCAATTGAATACTTGAGATGCAAACTATTAGCCGAAAAAATCGAGGTAAATGTTGGGGTAAATGGGGTAATGTTTTTCAAATGCGGAAACTTGAAATTTCCAGAGTAATTTCCTGGTCGCCTGTTAGATCGTGTGACGTTGTATTTGCTTCTTCACTTTATTTAGAAAATTTGTTGATGGTAGCCTCCTACATGAGGCATGGGTTATCGACTGGTGGGTCGACTGAAGCCAAGTGACAAATTGCCCCTGTTTTCCACAACAAGAGAGAGCGAGAGCCTCAGGAGAGATGCTAAGGGGATGATGGTAAAAGAGGGGTGAAGAGAAAACTTAAGGCTGTTACTACGATGAGATTGGCCCCTCAGAGAAAACTCCATTAATTTCAAACCTTCACGTGCTCTCATTCTGTCCCTTTCGTCTTCTTTCATCCCTCCAGTCTCTCGCATGAGAGAAAAAAAAATACCGCATCCCTCTGTTCAACCCCATTCCCACTCACCCTTGGATTAATCGAATCGATAATGCGAGATTACGCTCTTAACTCTCAACTGATCTAGAAGACAAGTAACGAGTTGAACAGTATGTCTCGGTCAATCTTATCGCGAAGAAAAAATTTCTCCACCCAAAAAAAAATTTCTCCAATATTCCACCACCTGCAACCAAAAAAATCGCTTTTCATTCCGGTACTTGTACAACAATTTATTGATTAATTATTGATTTTCTTTTGTGTAAGAATTTTTTATCGTCAATTTGACGGTGAGACACCTTTAAAAAATTTTACAAAAAAAAAAAATTAAAAATACATTTAAATAAATAAATTTATTTATATTTCATTCTCGATAAATATCGGTGATAACTCGATTTATCACAATTCTAATAACAATTACGAATATTTTAAGGTCAACTATAAATTACAGAGAAATCACGTAAAAACCCATGCACTTGCAATTATCGAATCGAACAAGATCACGTTCGGGAATGAAAAGTGTGGTGTCGCAGTGAGATTATCGGACTTGTTGAGAATCGAGTAATCGATTGGTCGTTCTCACTTGCTCTTCCGAGTTTCACGTCCACACCCCGACACTATAAAATTCCTCCAGCTCAAGTGAGAAAACAGAATTAAATAACGCAAGTGTATAAAGTCCCTTTTTCGTGAATGAAAGGAAGAGCAATATATTTTCCTTAAAAAAAAAATCGCGGGAACCGTAAATATTTCAAAAACCAGAGATGACAGTTTACCATTTAAGGGTAGGTTCAGAGCTCGTGGTGGTGCCACACCCAGGATTCAACAAGAGCAAGAGCTTCCATGCATTTTCATGGCTTTGCGTGGAGGATTTGCACGTGGAGCGCTTTCAAAGTGGAGTCCACCCCCAAAGGATTCACCGAGAAATCCTATTTCCTTGTAAATCCGTTCTCCATCAGTTCCATCATATTTATTTCCCTAAAAAACGATAGCTGACATCAAACTTTCTATTTAATCTTACGATCAAGCCTCGCCTGCCATTTTCCAAAATAATATTTCCCACAGATACTCGAACTTCGAGTCAAAAAAAGAAATTGCAAGCCTAAATGGTCGACTCGATGAGCAACTCATCAACTCAGGAATAATTCATCCGACACCGTGACATTTTCGGTGTGCGAGCGCTCGGGCATGGCTGGGAATTTCAAATACAAGGGAAATACGGCAATAATTTCTCACGAGGGGAAAATTGAACGGCATGTCTATACAACTCGGTATATTTATACGAATGGAATGTATATGTTCGGAATATCAGCAGCAGAGAGTCGAAATATTCGACGTTGCCCGAGGCACGGTGTGTCCGAAAACGAAATTCCTAGAATGCTTCGTTATAGTTAGCATTCCAGACAAGTATGTCTGACTGGAGTCGTTGGTTCGGGTTCGATGTCGCGGTTAGCGATAACGCATCATCCACCAGATCCAAACAATCCAATCCAAACATTCCTGCTGTCTCCACTTTCAGGATAGATTGATATTGCACATCAAACTCGAATTTTCCACTTTGTCACTCTTCATTCACCTTGGGGCACCGGAAGTGGCGTCACTTGCTTTCTCAGTATTTACCAAAAATATCGCTCTCGACGAACTCTCGAGTGGATGATCCTGGTGACTGACGACGCGGTGGAACGAGAGATACGACACCCACGAGACCATATCCACCTTTTTCCCTTTAACTCTGCCATCTGCTGCATTTGGGAATCGCTTGCCAAAATGCACCTGAAACATTTCGGGGGCTTAAAATATTTCAAGTTTGTATGAAAGCTCATGCATTTCCGAGTATCTCGAAATCCCCTATTTATTTTTCGCGGGGTAAATGATAAATTTCCTGACAATCTGTTCACAAAAATGTAGAGCAGGGGGTGAGCGATGATTATTTCATTACAACTGGAATAGAATAATTATGCGACATTATTACGAATATTATTATGAGACGTCGCGTGAAGTGAAGTCGACGAAGGGCGGGGTCGACGTACCGCAGGGGCGCAAATGCATAAACCTGGTGAGTACATGGGGTTGGGAAAACTCGAGTCATTCTGCCGTCTCCATTTCCTCGCGTAAGATAAGCTCAAATCTCATTAAACCTTGTTGTTGCTGTTGATGACTATTGCAGCGACATATCACTCCAGTCTGTCAGTCCCACCGGGACAATAATCACTGCGATGGTCTTCGGAGGAATTCCCCGGTGACGTCTCAGCCGTACTTTTCTTTCCTGAATTAAAAAATTCAAGGGCTTATTGAAATAAAATCAATAGATATATTTTTTCATGCGAGATAAATCTGTTTTCACACTCGAACCGCTGAAAAAAAAATACTCGCATGAAAAACGTCTGCCCTGTTAATTTTTATAATTCTCCATTCTCCCTCAAATTATCCCACTGTTTACTCGTGGCAGCTCTACGTTGTGCTCATTCCAACCGACACCCTCGCATCTCTCTATTTTAATTTCTGAAACTGGGTGACGACATGGAAAAAAAAACATTCGGCAAAATACAAATGATAATTTTCCAGTTTGCACTCAACGAAAAGTTGTAAATTTCATCTGCTTTACGGGGTAGCTGTAGGAAAGTGGAATCCTGAAGCATTAGCGTCAGGCACTGGTGTTTTCACCTGTGAGTTCACGTTGAAGAAACCCACGGGTATTACACGGCACTGAAAAAACGGCATACGCTAGGAAAAATGGTAATATTCCCACACAATTTAGGGGTTGAAAAAAAAAATCCAATGAAGAACGTGCGTGCGCATTTTCTTCGAGTGTATTATATTTATTGGAGGGTAGTTACCCCAGAACGTGCGGTCAGACAAATCCTCTCTCACCTTCCCACCCCCTTTGTCGCCCCCAAAATAATTCATTTCCCTCCCCCGCCCCGTCCTATCGTGTCTCTAGATCCACCAGACATGCAAAATTTACTTTAGATAATTGAATTTCCAAATTTTCCCGGCTTTCCCGATCAATTGGGACGTTTTACCACCCCCTAAATTCAAGATATATCGATAGCTGTATAAATAATTTATTTTCAATTTTTTATTTGCGTTTGAAAATTGAATTCCACGAATTTTCGATTGAAGGTATTTAATGGCGATTGTTCATAACCGCGAGAATTGTCAAAATTCAAAAAGTTGTACGAAGAAAAATTATTCTGTATCCACAAACAAATTTTTTGCAGAGGTCAACAGTGCATGGTTAACAAAAAAAATAGGAGAATATATGAAACAGTAAAAATATCGTAACCCGAGACGACGCGTCTCCTGGACCAACGATCGGAGCCTGCGCTTGCAAACAAAACATTATATCAATAATACGCATGTCTGTATCGATCATTCCCCTACTCTAGGGGATGTCTAGATGACTGGCGCGTTACCCTCACCCACCGTCAGCAGTGGTCCATCGACCGAGCAGTCCATGTCACTTCCGCTTGTATATCTCTGCGCTTTATCCCCGACGCGATGAAAAATCTCCTCAATTTTAATGGAATCATCAGGAACCTAGACTAAGACACGGAATGACTATTGAATCTGTCCAGAACAGAGCCGAATGAAACTCTTTCAGACAGTTGCGTGAAAGTGATCCAATAAATAATTAATTGTACCAACGATGAGTGAAATTCATTGTGATTTTTATAATGTCAAGCAGATAATTCTCAACAGATCGTGATCAAGCAACAGGTCTGGGACAACTGGTTCAAGTACCGACGAGTGGAGATCACAACAGGACCAACCGATCCTTCAGCAGACAGCACTTTAAATGCAAAGCGATTTCAATGACAGATGGAATTTTTATGAGTGGAAACAATCAAACGCTCTGTAATTTGTGGTGAGGATAAACCACTTGGAGAATAACTAGTGCAAGTTGTGCATCTGGCTCAATCAGAGGAGTATTGTTGGTCAATTGATTGTGAGCATAAGCAGCTGTAACAATGAAAATGGAATTATTTATTCTGTTGGGGATTGTCAGCACTTGCTGGGGAAACCCCGACGCGAAGAGACTCTATGATGATCTCCTGTCGAATTATAATAGACTCATTAGGCCGGTGTCCAATAACACGGATATTGTTGTCGTCAAGTTGGGACTGAGGCTCTCACAACTCATCGATCTTGTAAGTCCATTATATGATTTAATCGCTGAACCCGCGAATGAAGTCTCTCTTTTTTTCAGAACCTGAAGGATCAGATCCTGACAACTAACGTCTGGCTGGACCATGTGAGGATGCTGTTACCAGGTTGATTGATTGTCATGGGATTTTTGGAAGGAGCAAAACCGGTTAAATAATCCCCAACAAATCTTATGAAGATCCTTTTCGTTGGCTTTCATAAAATCTCATGACGGTCACACCACGCCCTCTCGAAAGCACCAGGAACAATCTCTCAGTGTAATATCTTGATGATTTCAGGAATGGGAGGACCACAAGTTCCGCTGGGATCCCTCAGAATACGGTGGAGTAACCGAACTTTACGTCCCCAGCGAGCACATATGGCTCCCCGACATTGTTCTCTACAACAAGTGAGTTAAATCTCAATTACCCTGGAAAATCCATAAAGTTCTGAAGCGCTGGTTTGTAACTAGATTACTTTAATTATGCTATGACTCACCAAGTGCGGACGGTGAATACGGAATAACAACGATGACAAAGGCTATCCTACATCACAATGGACGAGTGGTTTGGGCGCCTCCAGCCATCTTCAAATCTTCATGCGAGATCGATGTCCGGTACTTTCCATTTGACCAGCAGACTTGCTTCATGAAGTTCGGCTCTTGGACGTACGACGGATTTCAGGTAGAGCAGAGTTGATACCTTAATATCTTAATTAACTGGTGAACTGATCCTGTCGATTCCTTCAGATCGATCTGAAGCACATCAACCAGGAAGGCGGGAATAAAGTGGACGTTGGTATAGATCTTCGTGAGTACTACCCGAGTGTTGAATGGGATATCTTGGGCGTCCCAGCAGAGCGTCACGAAAAATTTTACCCGTGTTGCCTGCAGCCCTATCCTGATATCTTCTTCAACATCTCCCTCCGTCGAAAAACCCTCTTCTACACGGTGAATCTCATAGTTCCCTGCGTCAGCATCTCGTGGCTGTCGATCTTGGCATTCTACTTGCCAGCCGACTCCGGGGAGAAAATCGCCCTCTGCATCAATATCCTTCTCTCCCAAACCATGTTCTTCCTTCTCATATCCGAGATCATACCCTCGACTTCATTAGCATTACCCCTCCTCGGGAAATATCTCTTGTTTACGATGGTATTGGTCGGGCTATCGGTTGTTGTGACCATCATAATATTGAACGTTCATTACCGCAAGCCAAGCACCCACAAGATGGCACCCTGGATCAGGAAGATATTCATACGGAGATTGCCGAAGCTGTTGCTGATGCGAGTGCCTGATGATTTGCTCAATGATCTCGCCGCTCATAAAATATATGGCAGGGGTAAACCGGGGAAGAAGACGAAATTCGAGGACGCCATATCGGCGGCCATGCGCTCGCCTTCGGTGATGAGTTCACCAGAGTCCGTCAGGCATCGGCCAGGTGACTTCAAAAAATTAAATTGTTTTTTCGATAAATTATTGAAAACATTTCTTTTAATGAAATTACACATTCCAAGAAAAAAATGCACGCATCGAGTTGAAAAAAAAAACATTTTCTATTTTCTATTTTCATTTTCAACAATTTCATAATTTTTCTATGTTATATATTATTTTTTATTAAATTCTGTTGATAGGGTGCAATGGACTTCATCAGACATCAGCGACCAACAGATTTCTGAACAGCTTGGAACAGGGAATGAGCGCTTATAATGGACTGCCCACCGTCATGTCAGGACTCGATGAATCCATGAGCGATGTAGCTCCAAAGAAAAAATATCCCTTCGAGCTCGAGAAGGCGCTGCATAATGTCATGTTTATTCAACATCATATCCAACGGCAGGACGAATTCAACGCGGCAAGTACTCTCATAAATTAAAGCACTAAAGACAGAGTAATGAATTTTATCGGTCGTATAAAATGAAATTGAAGTTATTTTTATTGAAGATTTGGACGGTTTTCCATTTCAGGAGGATCAAGACTGGGGATTTGTTGCAATGGTTCTAGATCGTCTTTTCCTCTGGATCTTCGCGATAGCATCAATAGCCGGCACATTTGCCATTCTCTGTGATGCTCCAGCTCTCTACGACACAACGAAACCCATCGACACTAAATTCTCATCGGTGTTGAGGCAGCAATTCCTCCCCCACAACCCAAACTTATTCAAGAATCTAATGCAGCCCGACGCCTAGTGCTAAATCCCACGATAAAACTGAATATTCGCGTAATCTCTGCAGTATTTTGCTCGTTGATCTGTATCTAAGGAATTTTTGACTTTATATAAAAGCGAGAGTCGTTAAGTCTTAAAGGTAATTCAATCGATTGTTGCAATTAGTTATCAATGCAATTTTATCTTGTAAGGGAATAAAGTGACGTCAAATTTTTTCATTGAAAATATATTCCTAATGTGTATTTATTATATTTAACATATATTCATTCATACATTTTCATGGATCATCTATGGAACAGGTATTATGATTTACACATTTAATATTCGATACGATTTGATAATCTCTCGTAACAATTTTTAGCTTCATCTGGAGGTAATATAACGCCTCGAGATGGCTATCGGGAAGACTTCGTTCTAGATGACGAAGAATCTCAAAGTAACCCCCAACAAACTTGATAAATCAGTAATAAAAAAAGCTAATAACAAGTAGTCTTTTGAAAAAATAATAGAAATAATCTGGAGACGAAAAATTAGGTGTTGCTGTCAACAGCTGTCACTTAAATGCGACTCACGAAGACATTGATTACAAAATCGTTATTGATCCACCTGCGTGAGTTCAGTTCTAGAGTATTAAACTCTGACCGCCATGAGTCTTCTTGAGGGCTCGAAGCCTTTCCAGGTACCGATGCACATTTTGCACCTGGGGCAGAAGTGATGAACTGACATGAAGGCACTCATACAGTAAGGGAGACACGAACACAGACAACATCTGGAATAATTAAAAATAAGGTGAATGAATTTTCCGCAGCTTTACCGTGTTAACAATTTTTTTTTAGAAAAAAAAACAGGAAGTGCATGTTAAGCCTGAGAATTACCCAAGAACACAGAGAATGAGACAGCAGACATGTGCCATGGGTTGATGATCTGATACCGTGGAGGTTTTGATGTCAGCCATGCACAATGGGCACTGCATCTTCACAGGCCCAGGTCCCAGGGCGTAGGACCCAGGGCCCCGGACCACCCGCACCTCCGAAGTTATTGGATAAGACGGAGGTGCAGTATACGGTGGATCGTATGCATCCGTTGCATCGGTTTGTGGTCTGGGCATATGCACCGTGGGTTGAACAACTGAAAATTAATTTCACTCAGTGAAGACTATTGGCAAAAAAAAATTATTCCTCATGATTATGAACATGAAAAATCCGTTACATATGTGGGACCGTTTAAAATTGTATTTGTTAATTAAAAATCAAGTGCAGTCCCCATGTTCAAGCGCTTGATTACGCACGCCGATAAATAAGAGGAAAAAAAAATTACGCGAGCTGTCTGGTATCGCTGACGAAGGCGAAGAGTTCAATATCAGTTGAATGGAGATAACTCGTCCTATCTCCAATTCGATACGTCATCCAACTGTCACCGATTTTTGACGACGATAACAGCCATTCATACAGCATGCGTCAAGTGGATTTTTCCAAGTGTTATTTATTTTTTTAATGTTAATCGCAGCGTTGAGGGGACATAATGAAGTTGTTTTATGGGCGAGGAGTCTCGTGTATTAGATCAGGTGAATCGATGCTAATGCTCGATGATAAACTCAGGATTGTGAAACAAGATCGTAAATCAAAATTAATGAAGGGGGTTTTACGATTCTGGAAAATCGAATGATGATTTGTTGCAGGATGTTCAGGGGGAGAGTGTTGTTCTTCACTTGCCCATGTCGGCAGACTATTTTTATTGTGAAGGCTTTCAAAAGGGTAATTTGTGATTAAATTTCTCATTCGGATCAATTAATTCTTTCACTATTATCATCTCCAAAAGTGAAATTAAAATTCTGGAAAGTGATAAAATTAACTTTAAATTAAAAAATAACGATTGGAAGATAGATTTACAAATAATGATTATCACGAAGTCATTCTTTTCTGAATATGCTATTCACCAGTCGGCGCTGTATTTTAAATAATTAATTAATTAATTAATTCGCATATGAAACATTTTTTCGTCACATTTCATATTTATTTAATTGCTATTTAACAATTCTTTGGTACCGTTCATCTGGATGTTTTTCAGGGGGGACATTCAATCGTTTGCCAATCGACTTGTTGAATGAATAAATATTGATCAATTATTATTGACAAAAAAATGAATGAGATATTATTGACGTGGAAGTGACAGGTAAATTGGAAAGTCCCCCTGTGAAAAAAGAGATTTGTAACAAAGCGTAAAGTTTAAATATTGAATTGATAGAAAACACTTACAGGGAGTGGGGACGGCTACCCGGGGAATGGCCTGTGGATACGATGTGACATTGATCGATGAGTTTGTCATCCCCATCGACTGGGCAATGGCTTCCTCATAGGATGGTGGTAGTGCTGTTGGTGAGGGTGGAGGTGCAGTCGGTGCTGGCTCCGATGTTGACATTGTCGATTGATTTTTTTCCATCTCTATGCCATCAATATTTCACCAGAATTATCGCTGAACATTTCCATTATTTATTCATCCCGATAGGATTCAAATACCTGAAATAATATAATGTTCATCAGGCAAAAAATTATTTCACGATACCTCAAAAATAAAATCATCTGAATCAATTAAATGACGGGTTTAAAAATTCTTCACTTGTTTTTTTAATAATATATTATATTTTTTTAATAAAACAATGAAATTGTATATGACTGGACAAAATTCAATGGTGAATCAAAATAGGGAATGACAGTGAAGATAATGTAATCTGATGTTTATTGAGAATAGTGAAAATTTTTTATTTCAAAGGACTAGACAATATTCCTCTTTGAAATAAAAAAATTGAATGAAATCTCTAGAAGATTCGATAAGACTCAGGGTCGAATCGTCACGATGCGAAAGCCTTGCGGTTTTAACGACGAAAAACTCAGCGATAAGAAACATCGCGTCGATATACCAATAAAAAATGTCACTGAATATTTATTAATTTTATATCAGTAAAGATACTGGAGGTTGAACGGGTCAAATAAGAAAACACATGCGATCTGTGAGCGACTCAATTTTCTGTCACCTTGAAATTATTTTTCCACCAAATACTAATCATGAGAGATAATCCAAGTATTTAATCATGATTTCCCCAATCAGCACTGGATCAATTAATTGCAGAAGAAAATTCGAGAAGGAATTTTACTGCGCAGGAAGTAAAAGTGTGTGACCTACGACAAATTCGTTTTATCAGTCTGATAAAACCGGTTCACCAATAAAAAATAAATAATGTCTTGGGGTTTTGAGTATTCCAGAAATGTCCGAAATAGCGAGACATCCTCCTCAAGTTCCTAAAAATAGATGAGACATTTACCCATCACCTGATCTGTCATGACATCAAATGATATCTCCGGAATGACACGAGAATTACCTTCAATTATCCTCGCAGTCAGACCGAAGTAAACACCGGTTCAACGAGTAATAAAAATATTTACAATTATTATCTCGAATTAACCAGAAGTGCCACGATAAAAAGAAAAAAAAATGTACATCCAGATAATTTGTAATTGGTCTTGTTTAATCTAAAAAAATAAAGAAACTAAATAAAACATAATATTGTGCCAAATCATTAACAAACCTCAGATCTTTTGTAACATTTTTTATCACCTTTTTTTATGTCAAAAGATAACATTCATAACTGTAAAATATGTACGCGTAATAAATACATAATGAATAATATATTTTCATACGAATATATTGATCGGTAATTGTGTGGTAATCTCTCAGAGAAATTGGTCCCAATGGTGTCAAATAATTTAAAATGTCTTGATCGTTTCCATATCCGGTGATCCCCTCAAGTTATCAACTCCTGGGAAGGGAGTGCAAGTACCTAATAAATCACTCAAGTAAAGCGTAACGAGTTGTGAATGAAATCGACCTGTGAGTCAATGCAAAAAATAAACGACAAATACCCTCTATTACCGGTATTCGAGGTACACCATGGGCTCTCATTGGTTGTACATATGTGCGTTACTTACGTCATTTCAAAACTCGTATGCGAATAGAAAGCCAGTCGATAGTTATGTAATTATCGGTTAACGTGCTCTGTTATTTCGAGTACCTTTTAAAATTTAACGAGTGAAGACATTCAATTTTTTCATTCGCAATTGTCCTAGTTTCTGGTGAATTACCCGAACACTGTTTATTACCTTCGGAGGTCATTAATTGACACTTTTTATATCAATTTTTTGCATTTGATTAATGATTCCGCGAGGATATGAGTAATTATCTATTTGGTATTTGAGTACAAGGACGAGTCCAGACAAAAAAAATATTTATTTTTCACTGACAACCTTGATTTTTCCATTGCTCATGCGGAGTTATCACCTGATGAGTGTCACATCATTAAAATTCTCGTGGTCAGTGGAAAAAAAAATGAATTGCCACCAAAACTGCTAATTTGTCGTCACGAAGTAAAAATAGTAACATCAGTGATCAGGTAAGCATTCCGTCTATTTATGGCAAATGAGAAATGTAATGAAGGATCCCCAGGTAGTGGTTTGATATCAAATACCCAGAGATTGTCTGTGACTCAGTAAATTCACTCGTTTGTCCTTTTTTCTCATCGAGTTGTCGATTGACGTTGATGTTTGTAATGTGTACGCCACTATCATTGTAATGACCCCGTGATTCACTTTTTTCATTGATAATAAAAAAAAAGGACGCATGTCTGACGCAGTCTTTTTGAAATTATGGATCTATCGGTGTTGTTAATTCGCGGCAAGAATTTCTTCCTCATCGCTACGAAAATTGAGGATTATCGGACAGTCTGAGACACGCATGACGGCAATGGATAAACATGTGATTTCAATCACGTGTTTTAATTCCGTGTAAACTTTCACTCAATTGATGGATCAAATGGTTTGTAATCCCCGGAAGCGACAGCCTGAATATTCATCAATTGATCAATTCAATCAAAGAAATTGATTCAATAAAAATGTCGAAACAATCACTCACGAAAAAATCACGAATAAATAAAAAATGGAAAAATACATCTCGAATTTTCCCTTTCTCAAAAATTGAAGCCCCAAAATTTTTATTTATTCTCTTTTTTTTTCACAACATTCTAGTCTTTTTATTTACAAATTACAACCCTTGATGCCGCCCCTGAGAAATCGCGGGCAGGGCCCGACGATTCGTCCCTGCAATTCCTTATTGATTTCCCTCGAAATAAAAACAATTCTCCAGGAAAATATTCAACCACGAAAAGCCCCAGAACACCAGTAATTTTAACTGCTAATCGATGAAAAGTCAAGAAGCCTTGACATTGAAAAAAAAAAGTAATAAAAAGCACCTGTGCAGCTAAACAGTCGCCATTACCTTCAGTATTGATCAGCAGGTTTTGATTTCCACGAATTAAAGTCCAATGCACCTGTCCAGATATTTAGCTGATTCAACAGTTCAGAAATAAAACGTGTAGAAATAAAACTGAACGCGGAAAATCGGAGCGTGAATGATGTTGCATCACATTCGAAAGAATGGAAACTAAACGGAGGAGGTTCCCCCGGGCGACCGATTAAACAGTGAAAGTCGGTGTTGAGACGAAAACCGACTCTATCACGGATTTCTCCTCATCCGGTGGAATTGACGGTTTATCATTTTTATTTTCCATTCGATTTTTAATCGTTTTAGGAAATTTATTCGGTTACGGTGATATTCCTGGGATTGATTTGAGTTTAAAGTGCGCGGGAATGAGAGATACGTCCTCTCCGAGTCAAATCACGTGCGCGACTGGCACAACTGACACATTAGCAAAATTCTAGTGCTCCGAAGTGGGGACTAAACCTTTACCTCCGATGATCTGTCATGTATTGACATCAGCTATGAGGTTTCACCATAGCTTTCGCCTCGGAGAAAAATATTTGTTCCCTGAATGAATTTCTGGTATTATTTCTGATCGAATGTCACGACATTTTTCTCTTTTTTATAAATCTGTAATAAGCATGAGCGTAATCGCATGTCCAATAAATAAATTACATCGTCAATTATTATAAGTCTTATGAAATGAGGTTTATTTTTTGGTGAAATACAGAAATCACCAGACAGTACATTTTTTCTGAGGATTCATGGTGGATCCCGCAGGACATTTAAAGTCCTGGGAGAACTCCGGAATATTGGAGAGCGCTCCTAAAATACGAAATTCCGCAGGACTATGAACTCCACTGGAGATATCTGACTTGAGTATCTCAGGTCGATAAGATGTACACCAGAATTGAGCTGTACTTATCCAGAGCATTTGATTGGGGGTAAACTGGACCCCCGAGGGCACCTGCTCCTGGCCATTTCGTGCAGACCAGTCCTTGTAAGCTCTGTACGCCGCCTTAAAACCCCCATTATCCGCTATATTCTCTCCCTGAGTTCTTTTCCCATCGATCTAAAAAAAAAATACGAATTCACTATTGGATTCCCTGTGAGAATTTTCCTCAATCGCAATTTTCCTCCCTTCGATGATCAATTCCAATGAATTGTTACCTTCATCCCAACTTCTTTGGCTGTGTACCCTCCGTACTGATCGATGATGCATTGAGCTTTAGCATTATATTTTTGCAGAGTGGCAGGTTCCCACCAATCAACTAGACTCCCCTCTTTATCAAATTTTCGACCTTGATGATCAAATCCGTGAGTGATCTCGTGGCCAATGACACTCCCGATGGCACCGTAATTCATGTACTTGGGGCGATCACTTCCGAATGCTATGCCCTGAAGAATTCCAGCAGGAATGCCTGAAACGGTTAATCATAATAATTAATTCGGATTTCCCCAGTTTCTCTTTGCTCGATAACTCACTAATAGTGTTGATGCTGACGTAATATCCAGCATTGGCCTCAGCAGCGTTGTGAATCGCCCAGGTGTCGTCGATCGGTTTATTCAGTCCCCCAAACTGGCGATTGGCATCAAAAATAGCAATCTTCAGGATTCCGTCCAGAAAGTCATTGCCATCGAACTCCAGCCCCTTGTGATACTCCTCCAGTTTACGATCATCAAGAAGTTCGTCGGGATATCCTACATTGGTGTGCATGGAGGTGGCCTTCTGCATGGCATTCGCCTTGGTCTTGGGGTCCATCCAGTCGACACTCTGCAGCATCTCGATGAACTGCTTTTTGATATTGTCGACTAGCTCCATTGCACTCCTCTTGGACTCCTTGTTGAAGTTCCTTCGAACGTAGAGTGCACCAACGCTCACAGGAAGCTGCGTCGAGACAATCTCCATGCATTCTTTCCACCGATCTCCCATTCCTGTCCTGCCCTCAATCACTGTCAGCCACTCAAGATGTCGTGCTCTTGCATCGTGATTCAGATAATTAATTACAGATTCCACGGCTGTCCACATTATGTAGTTGGCTTGGGTCTTCTTTGGTGTCAGCTTCATCAAGTCGACGAACTGCCTGATGTATCCTGGTGCCTGCACGATCACCACATGATCGTCTCTCACGCTGGTGCCAGGCGGCAGCATGTGGCTGATGTAATCCTTCCAGGGGATGCTGGGGTACATCTCGGACAGTTGGGTAATCAACATTGGGTTGTAGGAACTCCCGAGTTCAGGCTCCTCTGCTATCTAATCATAGGATTGGTCAGGGGTGATATTTTTCATCTCCAATTTGGTTTAATTTCGACAATTACCTGAGACAATTCAATCTCGAGTTTGGCTGCATCGTGTAGCTGCTCCTCAGCCACATCTCGTTTAGCTCCAAGCAATACTGCGATGTTCACCATCAAGCTGTGGTATTCCTGCATGTAATCATGCCCTCCAATTCTCAGGACAGGTCCGTCCAACTGAAAAGTACAAGGTACATTCGCAACATCAACTTTCAATTGATTTCACATCAACGTACATGGAGGAGTCGGTTCTTGCTGTTTTTCATATCCGGCGAGACGGACAGACGGAAGAAGAAATTGAAGGGGTACCCGAGCTGCCGGAGTTTGTAAGTTGCTTGGGTCCACTCGAAACCTTGTTCATTCCAGGAGTTACCCTCCAGCACTGGCCATCCCCCGAGTTTCTTCAGGTCACCGAGGACTCGCTTCAAACCTTGCTCTTCAATAGCCGCTGAAAGCCATAAATTTTTTTTTTTTATATAGGATGTGTCCGGGAGGCATCCAATCTCCAAATCCAATAAAATATATAAATCAATCAATCGATCGATCTGATAAATTCAAAAACGTCTCAACGACATGCTCTCCTGTTTATCATGTTTTTCATGTTTATTCTAAAATTCATCTTTGATCTGTTCTTCATCTTCAACTATTGATTGAAGCCTATTCAAGATATCAAATAAATTTTATCAAAGATCGGTATCGAATCCATTCACCGAATTTTTCTCTTCCCGAAGACTTACGAATATTCATGCATGATTTGTACAAATTCTTGGCCAGCTTGAAGGTTCTGAGCTCCGATGAAGGACTGGGCTGCTCCAAAGTGGTCTTCAGCTGCTCCTGAATTTTGTCAGTAAGAATACTGAAGCTGTTCACGTCCACTAGATCTTCAGGGATCACCGTGTCCTTCAACCATTTACCGCAGGCAAATCTGTAGAAATCGTCACACGGCTTCACCGATCGGTCCATTCTGTTCAGCGCATTTGAAACTGAAAAAAAGAAACGAGAAAACAAATCGACGTGTATCAATTTTTTATAGCAAATTCCGATGTATTGATTATTTCGTTCGATCGATCGATTTACCCGCGCTATTATAAGTTTGAGCCTTGCTGGCACCATCTGGGGCACTCAAAAGATCATCGATCAAATTAGGAGGCGCTTCTTCTACGAATGGCAGCATTTCGACTTCTATTCCAGAAAAATATTAAAATAATTTGTTTAATAATAATAATATTAAACCGATGAGGGTATATGTGGAATACGTAAGATAGTCATACTAATTATTTTATTGTTGTTAATAATAATAACTTAGGGTACCTTGTAGCATCACACTTGAAATTATAAGGACATATTTTAGTAACAAATACATTGCGCATTGGTGTATGACTTGAAAAATTTTTTAATCTTCTGGAAACTCCTTGAAACTTTTGCAATATATAGTCCAACTAATCGCACGACTGGGACATAAAATTTTATTTCACACAACAATACGTTTTCCGGGTTTGGCGACGTCCGAATAACTTATGTTTAATATCAAGAATGACATGCAATAAAAGTATCTGATAGTTTTTATATTTATTCCCGGGGATTTTATTGGATTTCATTTTTGGATTTGCATTGGCATATCGTTGGGGCAGGGTAGAATGAAAAATTTTGGTGGAGACAATTCTGGGACCTTGAAATACTGAGACAACAAGTGGATTCAATAGTTTCTGGAGTACTAAACTGAAGATGTTATCAATTCAAACGTTTTTTTCCGGTTGGAAGACAACAAAAATTGCGCTTTGGCCATGAAAAAAATTTCCAACAAACAAAAACACTTTTACGAGTTTTTTTTGCATAAAAATTCTTTAATCAAAATTCTCCAATTCATTTTTTTACATATTTTCCTTATATATAAAAAAAAGCGAATTTAAAATCGCATGGAAAAAATCCGAAATAAATGAAAATTAATTTTCATTCAATTCAAATAAAATTCATTAATCAAAAATTCACAGTAATTTTTTTTTAATTTTCGTCACGTCCTGAATATTTTCATGCATTTAAAAATTTTTAATGTGCGATAAGCGATTGATTCAGGAAATTTCTTCTCAATTCTCAATTTACGGACAGAAGATAATTCGAGTTAGTAAAATAAATAATAATAATCGACAGTGGATAATTGTGAATAAGGCAGAGACCTTTTACCCCAGCTGAACATATCAGCCGCAGAATTTTTTTCTCTTACACATATAGTGTCGTCATCACCCTATTTTCAATAACACAAGTGTTCATTGTTGTGGTCGATGTCATCAGCTGACGAAAATTAAATTTCTGTGTATTTATTTAAAATATTCATAATAAAAATTGAAAATGTACAGTCAGGACCAGGGGCTGGATATCCTAGCTGCATTGTCGATGTTGAATCATCTCAGCAACACTGATTTGGGAGAAATATTGAACGATGATGGAAGATTCGAGGAAGTTGTCAATGACATAAAACAGGTGAATTATTTAATCGATGACAATAAATGGATAATAAGGCAGTTGTCTCATTATTTTCTTGTCTTATTATTAGATATGCGACTTACTAACTTTTCGTGAGGTTTTCTAGTTTAAAGAATTGGAATCTGAAAAGGAAGTTCTGATCGCTGGAAATCGTTCTCTGGCCGAAGTCAACCTAGCAAAACAACCCCAACTCGAGGAAAATAAAAAAGCATTACATGAACTGTCTGAGAAAGGTTGTGAGCTCTGTACAAGTGTACAAGACAAAATTACTGAATTAAGTACGTAATAATTGACTAATTGGATGATTCTAACGATTGATGACGATTTCTATTCAGTTGTATCGAGTTGGGATAAAAACAAAAAAATTCTTTTTCGAATTTTCCAGAGGAAAAATCTGGAGCTTTGTCAGTTGAGTCAGCCCTCGAGCTGTTGCAAGCTGCTGCTGCGGAAATTGAAGAAGAATCGGAAGTAATTATTTAAGCAATTATATAAACAATTATCAAATGATAATTGTGATTTTTATTTGTATTCTCCTTCGTGTCCAGAAAATAGCTGAAAAATTCTTATCGGGGGATACAGAAGTCGATGAATTCCTGGATCAATTCTTGACGCGAAGAAAGATAATGCATTTACGAAAGGTGAAGGTAGACAAAATGCGAGAGGTTAAGAGGAAACCGAAATCATCAACAGGGGGTTATCCAGCAGTGAACACCTTTCCAGGAATGGCTCCAAGTGTTCCCTATCCCACGGGCCCAGTTGGAATGCCCATGCCCGTTCCTCCCATGTACCGGCCATATTAATTCTAGTTGATATAAGTGATACCTATTAATTATCACCTTGCTAGATATATTCGCAAATGTACAAGTCTATTTTACTCACACAAACGTTTGCATTATTGATTAAACATTTGAAAAATTATGAAGATGATATTTGTATTTACGAATAAATTATGGAATTAAAAAAATTATTGGTATTTGCAGGCGAATGATTTTTCGTTTAACCGAAACTTAAAATAATTTCCCCTGTTTATTCATCCAATTTATTTATTCAACAATCTCCTACTATTTACACGTAATTACCTATGAGCATACCACAAAAACTAATCTCTCCATCATCAGGTACGTTCAGTTTGTTTCTCTCCTTCTTTCACAACACTATTTTGTTCCGCAACAGGGGAATCAAACGTATGATTGACAGTGACGATGCCCATGGTTCCACCCAATACAACAATCACCATAAACAAAATGAACCTCTCAATTGCTTCATAAGCCTGTGCTGCTAATACGCTCTCTCTCTCTTCGTTGAACCTCCTGGCATTCTCCTTCGCCGCCCAAGTTTTCTTAAAGCTGCTTCCATAATGTGCCTTCGTCCACCGATCAAAATCATACATCCTGGAACTCCCAGGGGCCTCAGAGCTCTGTCGATAGATAGCAGATCTCACCCTGGCAGCTTCTTTCGTTATATCTTGGACCTTGGGATCCCCAGGTTGCCTTGGCTCAGTATCAGTTTTTATTTGCAATCCTCTGTCATATTGCCTCCTCTTCTGATAATTCCCCAGCACATCGTAAGCATCAATTATGTCCCTAAATTTGACCTTGGCCTCCTCACTGCTATTTTTGTCAGGATGATACTGCATTGTCAGCTTGAAATATGCAGATTTTATCTCACCCTGAGTTGCCTTGGAGTCAACCTCGAGGCTGTCATAATGATTCTTTCTTCTTACACGTGAAGCCAGACTTCTTGACAGCACTGATATACTCCCCACGATTCTTCGTGAACGATTCATTGTTGAAAATATTTCACTGACGGGCTTTCAGGGAATATTCCTTGAATAATTCTATCATTTATTTTGTTTAATACTTTAAATTTTTTGGTAATGTTTTCAGTGAAAATTGAAGGACATTTTATATTATTTCAGAACTGTCATTTCGATTATTATTTTGGAAGGATTGGGGGTTATTTTGGAGGTTATGATGATCGTTTTTTTTTTGTCTTGACGATTTCGAAGAGGAATCCGAGGCGGACTCTAAGGTGAATTACATGTACTAGAAGACGAGTTTTCAGTAAGACCTCATTTGGATATTTCTGGGAATTTTTCGTGATAATTTGTGGTTTATTCAGATTTTCTGGGCTGAAATTGAGTCATTGCAATAATTTTTGGTCAGGGCAACGGCTTGGGGTAGTTTGGAGTATTTTTTTTTGATAATTCATTGAGATTGGGGGGTTCTTCAGGTCTTTGTGACTCATTGAAATCGTTAATTCCTAATAAGGAGCGTCGACGGAGCCTGCTTATTGCATCAAGGAACTTTCGGAGTGAATTCAGAGAAAAGCGACTGAAATTTTGGGATTTGAGACTTTGAAGTTTGAAATGGAAGGAATTATTCAGCATAAAATCTTGGAGGTGGCGAAACAGGTGGAGCGTCAATTAGATGGAGAGATTGAAGCTCTGGAGAACCTGGATATTGATGATATTGAAAAGCTGAGGGAAAAGAGGTTACAGGAGATGAAGAAAGTACATCAGCAGAAACAGGCGTGGTTGGCTGCTGTAAGGACCCCATCATAATTTTTTTCATTGATTTCCATAGATGGTGATATTCGTGGATGATCAATGAATTGTTTGATTTTTTGCAGGGACACGGAGAGTACTCTGAAATTCCTGATGAGAAGGACTTCTTTGATATTTCGAAAAAATCAAAGAATATTGTCTGTTTATTTTACAAGGATGGATCTCCAAGATGTAAAATTGCAGATCATCACCTACAGATCCTTGCTAAAAAACATGTGGAGGCGAGGTTTTGTAAATTGAATGTCGAGAGGTGTCCATTTTTGACAGGTACGGCTCATATTCATATTCAATTGTATTCGATTGGACTTCGACTCAGATACGTGCATTTTTTCCAAGACCAATTTTTAACCAACATCTCAGAATTTAAGGAATTGATTATTTGATTCCAGAGCGTTTGAGGATCAAAATAATTCCCACAATAGCCCTCATCTCAGACAGCAAGACAAAAGACTACATCGTAGGCTTCACGGACCTCGGAAATTGCGATGATTTTTCCACAGAGATGATGGAGTGGAGAATAGCCCAGTCTGGTGCAATATCATACACTGGTGACCTGTTGAATCCACCAGAAAAGGGAAAGAAGCCGTCTAATCTACTCTTTGGAAACAAGAAATCAAAAACAATTCGAGGCAGAACTAATTCTGACGACAGTGGTTCTGATAACGAATAATTCATTCTCATTCGATCGAATTTTCCTAGTTATTCTCATACCTTTTTGTATTATTATTTTTTTTTACATCACGCACACTGATAAATGATAAATTACTGATCGAACACAATAAACATTTATTTATGGGTTTATATCGAATTTTTATTTGAGTTATAAATAGCTTCAGCCCTCCTCATAAGTAAAAACTTAGATATAAAAATTTTTCATCAGGAATATTATGGAATGATATGACTTTCCCATGACCTGCATACAGAAATAAATTTATAGTAGTTTTCAAAAAGTGCACTATCCACTCTGGGTCGAATTTAAAAATTATTACCACACACTGAAAAGACACAAAACATTGGCTTTTAAAATTGTATTTAATCCGTAAACACTATGAATATTAGGCTATGGTGCATTTATCTGGATATATGAAAGTATTTTTGAATGAACCTTTTTGTTTAGACTCGTCTCGCTCATCCCACAGGGTCTTCCCATCGCAGGCACAAATTCTTTTCGTATTTTCGAAGACTCCTGAGGATCTCGCGATAATTCCACACGCTAGTCTGTGGAATAAATTATTAAAAGTGTTGAGTAAAAACAATACGAAAGCAATCATTCATAAACTCACCTCTGGCCACTATTCCCATCAAATTTTGATGTTGAACTATTCCCCTTGCCCAGATCATCAGAATCTTCAGTAATAACTAGAGATCTTCCTATGATATCGTCAACATTAAGTACTTTATCCTGCCATCTGAATTGAGCTCTTCCAGATTCATTTGCTAAAATATTTCCTAGGTCTCCAATGTGCTAAATAGGAAATCAAAAATATAATTAAAAAAAAATCTAGAGTCAGAGTATCATATAAAAGTATCGGACTGAAACTACAGATTACTCTTTGAGTAATGTCATCATCAGGACCTCCATGAGTGGAATTATACGGATTAAAATGATCTCCAACAGTATCACAACCACCAGAGATGTCCCCACATTCATGAACATGAAACCCATGGGCTCCCGGACTTAACCCATCCACAGTTCCATCAATAATACATCCACTGGGTGTCTGAACGAATCGTACGACTCCTTGAATTGCCTGACTAATTCCAAAACCTGAGGTCCCTCCCACTATCGAAACAGCACTAATTGTATTGTCTGTAACACAGAAATAATTATTTAACTCAACCACCGTATTCTGTGTTCGCGAGGATTTGCAAATGATTTTATTAGAGTTTATAGGCTCGATTCGGCTTTTAAAAAAATCAAGAGAATCACCACCATATCCTTTCAAAACCGCTCTCTTCCCCAGACTCTCAATCTTCTCCTGGATAACCGAATAAGGCATATCAGTGTTTACCAAGACAGTTCCTCTCTCCAAGGAAATATCAATATGATGAATCCCCTCGAGTTCTCTCAATGATCCCTCCACCTGCTTCACGCAATTCTGACATGTCATGTCAACAGCAAATTCCACCTATGACCCAACATAAAAATGAATCCACCTGTACGAATCCAAAAAAAAAAATCTTTACATTTACCTTCGTTGTCATTTTGTAGACACGAGATGAGGTCTTTACCAATTTCGTTCGTCAACCACTACAAATTTATTGATAATGAAAAATAAATCAATCATTACAACAATTCTTTCGTTAATAATAATTGAATGATTGGATGAATCTGTGCAAACGCAGTGAGACTCAGCGAGTCATTAGCGCCATCTCTAATAAATGGTTCCAAAGAGGATTGAGTAAAGTAGCGGCTCGAGTTTTATTTTTTTGAAAATTTTGAATTTTCACATTTCGGTGAATACCAATTTTGTAACGCAGAAAATAACGTACAGTATATATCACTGAAACCACACACACGTCCAACCCGCCCCAAAGGAAAATGAAAATGTTGACGAGTTGGTCGGGTTTCTCCTGCCGCTCATGACTTTTTTTTATCTTGCTTAATTAGAATTGTCGACAAATATTGTATTTTATTTATTGAAATATCGTCGGGACACAAAATAATTGTCAAGGGTGACTTCTCCTAGAGGCGACTTATAATTGTGTACAATGTACGATGTAATGTATTATCATTTCACTTCAACAGGAATGCATGTATAAAAAAACAATATTCAACAAATCTGGGAGATGAGAGGAAATTAATCTATTTGAATTCAATAACATACGTTTCTCGGGAGTACAAACGATAAAGCTTTTGGTTCAATTGTCTTTGAACGTCGACGGATTATGTGAAGACATGGCACCGATGAATCAATTAATTCTTTATTTTTGGTTCAGACTGAACGACCTTGTTATTTAGGCGACCGACGCTCTCGATTTCCGTCTGGAGGATATCACCTTTCTTAAGATACTCAGGCGGTTTACGAGCGAAACCCACACCTTGAGGAGTACCAGTGAGGATTACATCTCCTGGTAATAGCGTCATAAACTTTGAAATGTAGGCAACTATTTTTCCAGGATTGAAGACGAGTTCGCTGGTGTTTCCATTTTGCTTCAAGTCCTCATTCACCCAGGTCTTGACTGTGAGGTTGTGAACATCAGGAATAGCCTCTTTGGTAACAACTGCTGGACCAAGGGGACAAAATGTGTCCATGGCCTTTCCGAGGAGAAATTGTCCCCCGTTGATTTTGCCCTTCTGCAAATCTCTCGCTGAAATATCTTGGGCCACTGTGTACCCGAATATGCAGCGCTCTGCATCCTCTTCATTGAGATCTTTCCCAATCTTTCCGATTACTATTGCTAATTCCGCCTCCCAGTCGACTTTCTGCGAGGAATTTTATTTTTGAATTATTTCAATTTTTCAATATTTCTAAGTATTTGCATGAAGAATATGCCGTTACCTCGGAGTTTGTAGGCAAGACAATATTATCAGTAGGTCCAATGATATTACTCGGAAATTTGTTGAATATGACTGGATTGTTTGGGAGTTCAAGGCCCTGCTCTTGACAATGCCCACGGTAATTAAGTCCAACGCATAATAATTTATCCATGCGATTTATAGGTGCCAAGAAATTGACATCTGCCTCGGCTATTACACTCCGACCTTCGGCAATAATTCTAATGACACGAATAAGATCATCATTGTAATCAACTGCTGCTTGAAAATAGTCTCTGAATCTGGATTTAAGATATTCATTGAAAATTTTGTGGTGAGTGGGGACTAGTAGGAGTGAGAAATTCACTGAATTATTCCACTAAATGATTTTAATAAAAAAAAAGAGAGGAAATGAAGCACAAGCAATCGGTAGAGTCTTGGCATGCCGACACCAACCTTTGGACGTAATCACTCAGATTGGTGTCACCGTTCCTGAAGAAACGAAAAGACTTCTACGAGTAAAATTATACAATTAATCATCAACATGGAGTTCGTAAAACTCAGAGGCCTCGGGGCTAAATTTGAAATATAAATAAAAATAAATTAAATGGAAAAACGCAGAGTGACTTTTTTATCCAAGGATGTACTCTGATATTTCTTTAGAATTTCCGTCATTTTTTTCTGTTACGTTTTTCCACTCCTCTACGGATATAATTACTGAAACTCCAATTTGTATCGTATTGATTTTTTACCGTCTAGCTTTTTGAGCGAGGACCTCACCTCCCTCGAGGAATTTTCTGAGATTATTGGGAATTCTCGAGTCTATTGAGGAGATAGCAATGATATCCCCACCATCCTTCAGCTGAACTCCCAAGTGCTGGGGTCCTCCATTTTTATTTACAAATTGTACGAACCTGAGAGCAGAAATGTTCTGTTATCAATAATGCACTTTGAAAATTCAATTCAATTCTAAAATGAAATAGGATGGAAGTTGCATGATTTTTTTTTCTAATAAAAAAATCCTAATCCTGATTATTTTATTATTAATTCACTTGCTCATTAACTATTATCAAATGAAAAATGAAAATAACGTAATCATACCGCATATCGTTGCTCTTACTAGTTGAAAAACACCTAGCCCCTTCGACGCCAGCTGTTGTTCCTCTTCTAGCTCTGATAAAGCCAGAATTACAGTGGGCGATACAGGCCTTCCCCAGTTGTCGTAATTTTCCATGATAAGGCATTATATTTCCAATATATCACTCCAATCGTCAATCACTTCAAAAAGCCCTTGAAACCGTTGATTCCTCAAGTGCCTTCAACCGCTGGTAATAGCAGACAGAGGAAAAAGTGAAATTATCAGAAACAACTTGTTCTCGACGATAAAAATCTCAAGAGAAAGTAAAGCAAACCAATAAACCAAGACAAACAGTGGAAGTAATTCACGATATGGAATTTTATAGATAATGGGACTTACTAATTATTGGGCGTTTATTATTGGGGGGTGTCTCAAAAGCTGAATTACACCGGTTCAAGTAAAGTGCGTATTGCTTTCTCTATTATTTTTCCTGGTTTTTAAATGAGTTAGCAGGGACGTCCGTGAATGAAGATAATTATGGATTGAGTAGGATTCAAGGATGCCGACAATATCGCCAATCCCCTCTACCAAGTTATTCTCTTCCTCATCGGAATTTATGTAACACACCATAGAAGCAATTTATAATTCATCTGACAAATTTTTCCACGTACATCAGGCAAAAATAGGAAATCACTTCATTCTTTCATTTATTTGTTCTGCTTTTTTCCTTATTTTATTGGTCCTCTCGAGTGTAAAAAAAAACATGAGGAATTTCATGTCGGGAGCAGAAATTATACGAGAGATTGGCAATAAACATGGCACAAATGGCAGCGGTTGATCCGAAAAAATTCATAGCGGTGGTTGAGGAACTAAATCAGAGGCCGTACCCGTGAATAAGGCAGGGCACGAGGCTGTGTCGATAATGACCTCAGAGATGAAAAAATATTTTTGATTTTTTTTTGTCAATTTCCCAGGAATCAAAAATCCACATTTTTTTCCTGAGATTTTTTTCGGTGTACCTGTGGATTGAATTTTACTAAATTTAAATCTTTTAATTTATTTTTAAAATATAATTATATAAATTATATAAATTTTTTAAATAAATTAAACATCTTGTTAATTTATTAAATTTAAATTCGCCTCCTCTTTGTCTTCGCTATCTTTTTCTTAACGTCGAGGATAAGCCAAATCCATTAATTCAGTAACAAAAATAGATACATTTAGTACATCAAATCGAAAGCTATCCCTGAAGTTAGAAGAGATGTTATCATTGACGCTTTTGTTCTGAATTTATTTATTCGAGTTATCCTGTGAGATATATAGTGTTCCCCTTGGTCCACTACGTATAGATCAATAATTTACAAAGTAGTATTGATACAACACTCCTGGTTTGAAATTTAAAACGATTTGTCTATGGTATCTCCTGTGCTAGACAAACTGCTCAGAACTGCTGGCACTTAGTTCTAACAAACGCCAGGCCGATTTTGGATTCAATTCACTAGGATCACGACACATTACCCAAACATAGTTGACCCTCATCACTTTATCGGGATCACCCTCGACCACTTTTTTCTTCGAGTCCCTCACACACATTATTTGTTGAGATTGAAAACTAATTACGAGAACTGGACCCTGTTCCATTACTTTACCCATGACTAAATCGACATTGTCAATATCTAATATTTTATTATCCAAAAAAAATCCCAACTTCTTGGCTTGTGTCAGTGGTTGTGCAATGAGATTGTAAGGCGCCTCGTGACACCAGTCTTTGAGAATTTCCAAGTCTCCTCTAATCATCGCCTCCAAGATATTGGGGATGATGTCAATTTCACAATCTTTAAGGAATTTAACTTTATCGAAGCTAGGATCCAGTTTGCAGATTTCTGTAAGAGTTTCTGAGAGCTCGGTTTTTTGAAAAAGGCCCCCCATTATGTCTGTCACTTTATCAGTAAGTAGTCGTGATGCTCTGATCAGCGAATTATCAGATTCTTCGTATTTTATCTTCCAGTCGAGGACTTTGTTAACATAAGGATTATGATCCTTGAAATTCTGCCAAGATTGGTAGAACTTGGAGTCTTTATGCAACTCAACACCGGTCGCCTCTGTATTAGCCTCAACCGTTTTCTCTTCACTCTCTAATATCTCCTTTCGTTTTCTCAATTTAGTCAAAGGTACATAAACTCGTCCTTGAATCCCATGATTGTCTAATTCTTTCCTAACGACTTCTGCTGTCTGTGATATAGTCTGAAAGGCATTGGTCATCCCAAATGCCTGACTTTTTTCTGATAAAGTCTCAGCAGCCCCCTTCGCAGATTTTGAAATCTCCTCACCCAATTGCCCAGCCTTTTTACCCAGCTCCGTTTTTCCTGCCTCGTCGATGACTCCCTGCACCTTCTCCTTCAATCCCTCCAGCTTCCCTTTTAATAATTCCGAGCTCTTCGATGCCTCAGACTCCACTGACTGAAATTTTTGACGAGCTGATTTCAAAGCCTCCGACTGCTCCAGCTTTTCTGCCTCCTCCCGAAATTTTTTTAACGACTCCTTCATCTCTTTATTCTTCTGAACTTCTTGTTTTATATTTTCTACAAACTGCGAAAAGAAGTTGGGCCTCCTTGCTTGATTTGAATACAATCGAATCGATTGTACGTACAACTGAAAGAATTTCAATTTTTTATTGGTACTGGTACATTTAAAAAACGGTAATTACGGATTATTTCTGATATACGTACTGAGTGATGATACATCTGCATCTCACTCGATACCGTGGGATACCTCCTGGATATTCGAAATAGGGCCTCATTTTTAGAACTATTAACCATATCCTTCCTCGCGGCCACCACCCGAGAAATGCCGGTCGGCTTCGCCCCACATGATCGCAAATTCTGAAGCTAGACAAATTATTGTAATTAATAAAATAATTATGTCAATATAAAGTTCATTTCGGTAAATAGTATCGTGCGAATTTTGCAGAAGTTGTAAGCTATTGAAAAAATGCCATGGTATTGAGCAAGCGTGTTGGACACCCATGAAGGTAATTCCACTGGTATCATAACCTCCAGAATGACCGAGATGACAAAAATCTCTGTATTATAACTTATCAATTCCATTAAAACTACACAAATAATGATATTTCCATTTGAAATGTATTAAACTGTTCTGTCCGACAAATGTCACTGATTATTTACTCATTTTAATTACCATTATGCGGAGAATCCGGAATGTTTCAACAAAAAAAAATTGGAGAGCATGATAAACTTAGTATTATTACATGACGGAGATGGCGCCATGATCAATTGTTAGTAAAAAATTGTCTGAAGTAGGTTGTATTCCAATGATTTCAAGTAAAACATTTTTGACGGGATATTCTACTATAATATTCACACTCGAAGAATGTACTCTCTAATTGTATCGTAATATATACTATTTTGAAAGTTATTAATATTCTGCAATTGTTTGTCCAGTCCGATAGGAGGTATCGATTCCAGTGTAAAACTATCGACACATCGACGGACAATTATCGGTGAAAAATATCGAGAATCGGGGGCGAAAATATCGATACGAGCATGTAGCGATAATGTATCAGAAAACAGTGGAATTACTTGAAGGGAAGAGATGAATGCAAAAATTGAACCGACAATGAAATATTCGAGAATAATTGGATGAGAATAAAATTTGAGTAATTTCTGTTAACGATATTTGATCGTCGCTACTGAGTATTAATATAGCATTGGAGAATATTTTTAAATTGAAGTAATACAGATTATGGAGTCAAGAAAAGTTTGGGACAGTGATGGTAGTGTAATGACCAACGTACTCGTGTTATCTGATAGTTGATGCAAGTATCAACTGAGAATCAACAACTTAAATTTCGAGAAAAACACCAGGACAATGTGAGAAAGTCAAATGCTTGTCTTGGTCGTAAGTTTATTGTTTAATGATGGAGACGGATGATTATGGCATCTTTAACATTCGTGGATTTGATTATTTTAGTGCAGCGACCAACCCCTGCTAATTATGATAAGTCTGTCGATATTGTGCATTTTAATTGGATCACTGGGGACTGCTGATGGATACTTGTGTCCTGTCCTCTGCAGTTGTAAGCACGTGGGACCCCAAAATGAAAGACTCAGAGTTAGATGTAACAAGGATATTGACGATATTAAGGATATTCATATCAACGCTGTCGGCATTGACCTTTATTATTTGTAAGTTATTGGTCATTTGTTGGTTCTATCATTTTTTAGGTTTTTGAGTTTTATCTGGAGGAACAGACAAGCTTGTCGATTTTACACTTGAGCTTGGATAATCAAATCTTTAATAAAAAAAATATATATATGGTATAAGACATATCTATTTTTGAGAGTCTTCGAATTTTTTTCATTTTTTTACTAGGAAAAAATATTTTATTTACTTATTATAACAATATGTGTACACTCGTATAGATTTTAATACACAGGCGAAAATACACTACATTGAGAAAAAATTTCAATGAATAAAAAAATGGTTTGATATGATAATGATAGAAGCAACCATTTTTTGTCGCGAACCAATAGGTTTACTACATTTTACTGGATTTTTCTCTCAGTGTAGTTGCAGTATTATTGTCAATCATTATCGATCTTTTGTTCCAGGGATTTAAGTAAAAACAGGATTTATGTCATTGAGCAAGGAATATTTCAGAATTTGACGAATCTAAAACGCTTGGATCTTTCTATGAATAAAGTGACAACCTTGAACGATGGCTGTTTTACTGGGTTGGACAGCTTAGAGCGATTAGATCTGAGTAAAAATCAAATTGCCTCCATTGATTCTTCAGTCTTCCGACATTTATCCAATCTTAAGAAACTTGACTTATCTGGTAATAAAATAAGCGCAGTGAAGGCAAATTTATTTCATGACCTGCTGGCCCTCGAACGCCTAAAACTTAATGGGAACCTTCTAAAAACTCTCTCTGAGGAAAACTTCCACGGACTAAAATTTCTACACCAACTGGACCTGAGCAACAACCCATGGAAATGTGACTGCCACCTGTACTGGATAAGCAACTGGAAAAATACCTCTCTCTTCCGATTAAACTCCACTCCTACCTGTGACTCTCCGCCGTCAACGCGCGGCCAACCAATCCTCGACATTCATTCCTTGGAAGATGGTCAATGCCAATTCGACTCTCCAGTTCTTCAAATGCATCCAGATCATAACCAAGTCGTCTTTGCAGGTGATTCAATGAGTCTAGAATGCAGTATACCTAGCATAACAGATGATAGGAGTGCTCACCTAAACTGGTCATGGAATCCCAATATCTTCATGAGTTCGGATTATTTCATAGATCCGCAGGGTACATTATCGAATGTTAAAGTAGAGAACAATTACCTCTCCGATGCTGGAGTGATCCGCAGCTCTATCACAATTTTTCCGGTGAGGAAAGAGCATAATGGGCAGTGGAACTGTCAACTGATCTCAATATACGGTACTCAGTCTAAGAGAATTACCATGATAGTAATATCAGAAGATACAAACTATTGTCCTCTAGTCATCACGAAAAATAACAAAGGAGTTTATGCTTGGCCTCGAACAGTCGTCGGCTGGAAGGTGGAATTACCTTGCGAAGGAACTGGCGTCTCTACTCTGACTCAACTCCCGGTTCAAGCTTCCTATCAATGCAACTCCACGGGTAGTTGGAACGATCTCAATACTGAATCATGTCCTTTCATTTCTCCAACAACAAAAGCCCTGGAACAATACTCGAAGGTCAACCTCTCTCTAACAAAAGGAAATTTATTAGAAACAGTAATGAGATTCCGAAACCATACTGGCTATCCAACCAAGATTACTGATCCCATCGAGATTCACTTTATAGCAAAGACAATCGAGAATTACTTGAATTTTTTGATCGAGGAAAAAGATCTTGGGGCGATGTTGGTGGGAATCATCAGTTCCATCATGGCTTTTCCAAGGCAGATGTTAAAGGTTTCGGAAACCTCCTACAATGCTTGTACAAGACTGATCAAATGCATTGAAGTAATTGCAGAATTCACTCCCTCAATACAACTTCATACGAACAATATGGCCCTCGAGGAATTTAGAGTTAAAACAGAGAATTTTGTGGGACTCACTTGTACGTGGTACAGCACAGTCTTGGAAGAGAAAGAGGATAGGCTGATGCACTGCGCAACGAACAATAAGACTGTAATCCTGAACACTGAGGACAGGTCAATAGAAGCTTCAATCCAGCTCCCGGCGTCATTATTCCACCGCCTGGATCTCACAGTCGCTCATCAATTAATGATCTCCATGTACAGCTCTAATAACTTTTTACCGCTAATCTCAGCGCCCCCAAAGATGGATATTACGTCTGGAGTAATAGGATGTAAACTAATAGGCCGACAAGTAGTTAATTTAACAGAACCTGTGTACATAATGTTGAAAATGCCCCGATCGTACCATTTGGGAATTCGACCCAGACCCGTAGTCTGGGACCTAAAATCCAACGTTTCAGGTGAATGGTCTACTGACGGCTGTCAATTATCAAATCTAATAAACAACCTGATCGTCTTCCACTGCAATAGATTAGGATACTACGGACTACTTGAAGACACTTCGTACTTCGATAACTCTCCTCATATTTCCAGCGCCAAATTCCGATACTCGAATCCTGCTATCTACGTTGGAACGTTCGTAGCGATAATATGCTTGACGATCACATCAGTGACCTACATAATCTGTTATGCATCAATCATAATGCCGAAGAGAGCTAAGCACTGCGTCGTCAATACTTGGATATCAATAATTCTTCTCTGCTTTTTGTATACTACTGGAATTCAGCAGACTGATTCTATCAAGATTTGTCAGGCAGTTGGTTTACTCCTGCATTATCTGTCTTTGTGTTCCCTTCTGTGGATGACGGCGTCAGCCAGCAACATGTATAAACGACTGTCCAAATTAAATGTCGCTGACGTTCCCGATGATGAACTCTCTGAACAACCCATTCAAAAACCTCTATTAGGTATTTATCTAGTGGGATGGGGAATCGCGTTGATCGTTTGCGGTATCTCTGGAGCGATCAATCTCAAGGACTATGCAGGATACTCCTTTTGTTTCCTATCTTCAAGTCCTGCTCTGACCGGTCTCTTCGTGCCTGCCATTATCCTCGTCTTTTATCTCACAATTTTCTATCTTCTCGTTCGATGCGCAATCAGAAATGCAGATCATAACAGACAGTTGTCAGAAGGGACTCAAGCAACGGAAAATATGGATTTGGAATTACTGGAGCCGAATCATAATAGAGTGGATCAGAGCAGCGTTCACTCAACTCAAACGGTTTCTTCAGATGTCGAGGATATTGAATACTCTCAAATTACTCAACTGAAGGGTCACATTGTGATTCTCATCTTGTATTTGATTGTTTGGTGTTCAGGAGCTGCAGCAACTGTAAAACCTTTCAGTCTTCAGATGCCTCATGAAGAGACGCTTTTCGCTGTAATTTACGCGACATCCAGCAGTGCGTTGGGAATTTTTGTCCTTCTGTTTTATGGAATAGCGAGGAATGATGTGAGAACTCAGTGGAATCTCATGAGGTGTTGGTGGCACAAGAAAAAAAATCGGTGTTGCAGATCTCGAAGTGTTACGGATACGACTCCAGCATTACCTGCTCAACCTTTGGTCCACAACCTACCAGTTGCAATTTCGAATATTCCAGTTACTCAAGTGATCAGCGATACCAATTCTCTCAATTCTTTGAGGTTCTCAAGTGTTTCTCGGGCATGCGATATCCAAAAAACCGCTGACATCGGTGTTAATTCCGGAAGTAATAAAGGTCAAAACATGAACTTGGTGGTTCTGCATCGTCAGCAATACCGGTCTAACAATTCTGTAACCACTTATACAGAAGCCACACACTCGGCCAGCATCGAAATGTTCTACAATCCACGACAAAGTGGGGTAGCCAGGAAGTTCTTCAAGAAGCAGAGGCGACACACAAAGACGAATAATTTAGGCCCCAGAAAGCGGGGAGATGGCGGAGCAACGAGTGATGGCGGTAGCTGCATCTCCGTACCGAGGCCAGCGGCAAGGCTTCACGAATCAGAAATAGAAAAGAGTATCTTTGGTAGCAGTGCTAAAGTCAATAATACTAATCTTCATGTAGAATTAAATCTCATAAACATAACGAATAACATAAATATACTTTCGGACAGTGGTGGGAGTATATCAGAAGACAGAACAGTCCCCATTCGATACATTATAGGTCAGGAGAATCGCCAGGACTTGAAGAAAATGAATAACGATTACAAACACGTGGCCAGAAATGACTCGCAAGAGATACCACTGCCAGAATCATCATTGACTCCCAACGAATCTGATGTCGACACCAGAACGGAAGAGGAGAAACGCTTACGCAACGTCTCTCAACAATGTAGCTTAGAGTACAGCTCTGATTTAGATTTAACGATACAAATGATGAGTGAAAGAAGTGACCACAATCTTTCGGAATTCGGGGAGATGCCGGAGCCCCAAGACAAAATCGTTGAAGGAGATTTCAACTGCTCAAGCTTCGGTCAAGCGTGCCAAAATCGTCGGCAGAAGCCGCTCGCAAGATCACAGTCTAGTAGTTTGTATTTTCTCTCTGAAGGCACATTTGACGGTATCAACCTTCGAAACAGCAGTGCGAGCTCGCTCAATGATGTCAGGAGTGCTGACGCAAGTTCAAGGAATTGTCAATCTAGAATATCCATTGATGATTTACAAAGTGAAGAGAGATTAAATGAGCGAATTAACAATCGCAGTGATCATCCGCACTCTACAATCAGTGAGAGTAATTTTATCAGTGAGAATGTATTGTTCCCGGCGATTAGTCCTATGGGCAGTGGATCTTTAAGGGATGTCAATCCAATTTTGGAAAATGATACCGGCTTTCCATTACGCGAGAGTCTCACAGTGACGAATTCCACCGCAACGAAGGATTTGACTCATCAACAGAGTGATCCCACTGGTAGAAATTATTTGACAAAAGATTTTAACTCCTTGCATAATCTCCCGGTAATTGATGTGATTCTTGGAACTACGAGACATTTAGATATTAATGCTAGTATTGGCGCGGATTATGAGGATAGCCATTATGAGCATTCTCAACACTTCAGTGAGGACGGAGTTCCCTTGGATGATATGTTACTCGAAAGTAATTCGGATAAGAAAGAAACATGTGTGTAGAATTCTGTATTGCGTTTTGATAGAGCATTTCAAAGACCCCCATCGAACATTCTTACAATTTAATAAAACCGTTGAACAGGTGTTTCTTATTATCCTACTGTTTAACTTTGCCTCGTTCTCTTTTGTATTTTTTTATTGAATAACTGATTTAATAACTGAAAGTATGGCAGCTCAACTCAAACTTGATTGACGTTTTACGGATTGAAATCACAAGTGCGAGGAATTTTTGTATAAAAATGTTTGATTCATTTTGAATGCCGATTGATATTTGATGTTGTGTTTTTCGAAATTCAATTCTCAAATTGAGATTGCTTATGATTTGATAGTTGTTTAATTATAAAATCACCGGATTCTCTAGATTTTTACTTTCACTCGGAAGATTAATAATCTTCAAGCAATATAAATATATGTTGTAAATAGATTAATTAACATTAATATAGATCGATTGTATAATTGCAAGAAGCTATTCAGAGACATGTCCGGTATTCATTAGCATTTTTTTTGTGTATTTTTTTGTCTTTATCGCCGACGTTTTTGTGAGGTCTAGTGGACGCTTAGGAATGGTCCTCTAATTAATATGCTTATTGACTTTCATTAACATTTTCATGAAGACTGAGATTTATTTCGTAATTTAGAGACAGCAGAAAGAAAGTTGTAAGAGTAACACACGTTCATGAAATCGTCAAGTTTGAATTTCTGTATTCTACCCGTTCGGGAAATGTGCATCCAGCATATGTTCTGTAAATAGTTTATACTATTGCAATAAATTTGAAACAATACTGGCAACAATTTTCTTTATTTTCATTTTCATTGTGAATAAATGCTTTTTTTTTATTTGTTTAACTGAAATTTAGCCGATTAGGATTGGGGAAGCAACATTTTGTGGAATTTCAAATGCAAAAAATTATTCAATATATTGAAGATATACTCCTAATAAAACTATGCTTTCATAATGAACGCGTTGTCTAATGAGCAACGTGCTTGGCTAGCACGCCGACGGCTGGGGTTCAATCCCGCCAACATTCATTTTTTTTTTTATTTAAATAATTCCTATTTTTTTTTTTTGGTAAATGGCTAATTATTGATAATAATTAATGGAAATATCGTTTAAAAGCTGAATATTTGAAAATCGAGAAGATATTCAGTGTAATTGAAAAATTAGCAATTTTTTAAAACGATACTTTTGCAATATATATACTCCTAATGAAATTTTATTATTATAATAGTGTGTTATCCTAGCGGTAACGTGCTCGGCTAGCACGCCGACGGCCCGGG